AGTAGATGAAATGGAAGTGGACTCTCCAAACTATCAGCTGCAGAGGAGTCAATATTCTACTCCAATATTGTCACCTAGATGACAACCACAATCACACTGAGTTTTGCAATGGCCATCATGATGTCTCCAACAACATCGAATGCTTACTCTCATGCAGTGGAAACCAGTCTCACCCTGCGGCATCAGAAGCATAACAGCATGGTTCAGCTCAAAAGGAAGGAAAGTCACAATCATTCAATGTTACGCTACGCTATGCACCTACAAATAATGCAGATGAAGAGAAGGAGGAGGAATTCTGTGGACAACTGCAATTAGTACTAGATAAGACACCACCCCAGTTGGCGACTTCAAATTCTACTGAGCTACATGAATTCCAACCTTGAAGCGGGCAACACAAGAAGAGAACAAATCAGTGGTCGAGAATCACTTGGTGAAATGAATGAGAATGGAGAAGTGTTTGCAGATTTCTGCACATTCAACAATTTGGTGATTGGAGGCAGTGTGTACAAACACAAGGATATTCACAGAGCGACATGGATTTTATTTCACCAGATACCAGGACAAACTACATTAAAAATCAGATCGGCTTCATCTCAGTGGGCAGAAAGTGGAGACGCAATCAGCCTACTAGATGCGAGGTTAGGAAGGGAAGCAGATGTAGGTTCAGAACACTCACAATCTAGTGCAAGGAACCTTCACAATCAAGTTGGAAGCCTTCCAAGAAGCTGGTGGTGGACCACAGTTGAAATTTAACACCCAGAACAGAAATTGAAGGACGAAACTACAAAGGACATCTTCACATCAGTCAGTCATCAGAACAAATTAGGAGACATTGAACAACATACCCGAGGAAACCTGCGTGGAAAAACACTGGAATTTTTGAGAGATGTGGAAAGAAACCTGCATAACCATGTTAGGAAGGAAGAGGAAACAAGTTAAGGAATGGATCTCGACGACACATGGAAGCTGATAGAGGAGGGGAGAGGAAGATGGTGAAGCAGAAGATGAACCAGTGCAGTGCAAGGATGATTCCAAGGCATAAAGCACTACACTGGACAAAGGAATGTAGAAGAGTGCCCGCAAAGACAAAAGACACTTATACAACACGTTGGCATGTGAAGCAGAACGGTCTGACGGTAGGAGAGACAGAGACCTGACAACATTATATCAGATAACCAGGTTACTGTCTATCTGGGAAGAGATCAACACAGATGAAACCAATGAGAGATAGTGAAGGAAAACTAGTTAACACTAAAGAGGAGAAACAAATAAAATAAGACGATGGGCTGACCACTTCTAAAAACTCTCGAATCGACCACCACCACCACCACCTGCAACTCGTCCAGAAATACCATTATTAGCCCGGCAACAGAACTACCAGTGAACACGAACATTCCGACGAAAGCCGAGTGGATTTCTGAACGCCATGAATTTACTGAAAGCCGGGAAAGCAACAAAATCAGATGGAATCCCTCCAGAAGCGCTGAAAACAGACACCGAAACAACAGCGGACATGCTCACAGCACTACTGAAGGAAGTTTGGGAGGAAGGAAAGGTACCTGCAGAGTGGAATAAGGGCAACCTTGTCAAACTTTCAAAGAACGGGGACCTAAGTCTTTGCAAGAACTGGCGAGGAACCATGCTCCATTCCAATCCACACTAAGCAAAATATTAAGCCATATCATCTTTTATTGACTAGAAACTGTTCAACAAGAGTGACATGGAGGAGATCATGTAAGGAAGAAATGAAAGCTTATAGGCAGTCTAGGATCCAGGTTAAAAGGCCTGGAGAGAACATTGTGAAATGATGGCGTGCTCTACTGAGACCTTGTGTTTCACTAGGAACCCAAGGGACAAATAATAATTATTATTATGATTATCTTGATGAAGAAGTAGGAACGTGTTCAGTTATTGGATGTTGTTTAAATCCAACCTGAACTGAAATAAGTAAGATTACTGCCATAGTTTGTTGTCAAAAATACTGATTCCCTTCACTGACATATTCCAGCGCATAGTGTTGCTCATATGCAATATCCTGTCCTTGTAGCTACATAGTTATGCGTTCTCAACTTCGAAGAAAGCAGATAGATAGTGAAATTCAAAGCTTCTCATGATATATGTAGGGAAACAAAATCAGACGATTTTGGGAAGAACAAATACCTTGATTTCTTGAAGGTGAAACCGAATTATAGTTGCAGAATAAGACCCCTGAAGCTTCAGTTAATTCAAGACGATCTAATAAGAAGTCATAGAGTAACTGTCGTGGGCAGATCAGACACGAAAAACTCAATAGCAGATAGGAGGCATTTAGCCTTTGATTCAGTTCACTGAACATAAAACGCTATAAGTAATAGCTAACGCAGAACAGACTACAATCTGTGAACCGAAAAATGCCTTCTCACTAAGCGTACTGTTTTCATTGAGGCTTTTTCTTTATGGACCCATGAGTATATTATCAAGAAACTGGTCAGAAGACATTTTACAATTTAGTTAACTGTACTTTTACGCAGGCATTTGTCTCCTATTGTCAATGACACTGTGAATTGCGAACATCCAGAAATCTGATTGTCGGTCTGATGTGACGAAGAAATAGCCGGGAGAGTGTCTGAAAATTCATTTACATTATTCAGGAGGAACCTTAGTACTCATAGATACAATCCAAGTTGCTTTTTGTTAGCCTTCCTCCGTATCCAAATCAACTTTAGATACTGTTACTATCAGCTTTTGTCAAATATTATCTCCTAACATAGTGGCGCACATCCACTTAAAACCAAAATTCACACAGATCAGCACAAGTTGCAATACGAGACACAGCTGGCTGCCTTGTCAGTTAGTTGTTGACAGCTGAAGCTTGAATTTAATGAAGAGCGAGCGTAAATGTCAGCATAAAACAGGAAGCTGAAGGATGAGTCGTTCTCATATGACAATATTTCAGGCTGTGCATTCAGCTCATGGAGTATTTCTTCTTGCTTATGCAGGAATACATTTGGCCATGACCGATCGGGGGTAATTCTACAATAGCCATTCAGTCCATGAACTAAGAGAGACATGCCACAATCCTAATGTCACCAATCAAAACATCGAGGGATTCCTATAAACACTACGAAAAGGAGAGAGATTTTTATGCATTCTGGCATCTCAGAAAAGAAACAACGGCTACGACTTATTCACTTATAGGATAAACGATGTTTATTGCTTCAGGCTGAAGATTCATTGAAACCGGATACTAAAAGACTAGTAAAAAAAGCCATTCACAAAACCGCAGAATTAAATTGCACTCATATCTGGCTACTCTTACTCATTGAAGAGTCATAAGTGCGAAACAGGATCAAATTCTATGTGAACCACATATCCATTACCTGTGATAGTTTTGAGGTTGAAGTAAACCCAGTGAGTCATAGGAGACATGAGGTTAACCAATAGAAGTAATGACGTGCCGTCAGGTAAACGTGATGTACATTAGCAAACATGTTGGCAGTATATCATAGGCTATGGCTTAACAGTAACTCAATACACTTTCGTATGTTCCGCAACACCTTGTACCTTAGATGAGACTGACTTGTGTAATCTGTTTTGTAAATGGCAAAATAAAACTAACCACATATATGAACTACAATCACCACAAAGCACGCTTCGCCCCCAGTTTACCGAATATACACAATTCTGACTTACTGAAACATGTATCCTTCAGTCTGAGTAGTGATCGAAATTGTATCAGTCTATACGTGAACCTCTGATAGTTGAGACTGACCGTGCATTATTTTTGTATTCGACTTTCAAGCAGCTACGTCGTCTTAACTTCATTCACAGCCAGTGTCCAGACATAAAATCAATTAAGTTAAATATATCCTGCTCACATTCTAACAATGTTCATAGGTTTTCAACAGAAGTTACATTGTATCGAAAGCAACATACGAGATTCAGTTAAATAATAGCAGGTTTTTTTTAGATAAAAATGAGGTCCATGGTAGAGCTGCACAGGGGGATATAACAAAGTGGAGTTCCAAAGTATTCTTAATAAGTGAAGAAGTTATTCTGAAGAGTGCTGCACAAATATGTTTCGCTTTTCGAAGTTGTCACTAAGTATTTTTACCAAAGGAAGCATTTAATGCTCTAGTGCTCACCTGTGTTGTTGTGACATGTTTTAGAAGTATATTTACAAAGACCACATACTTGGGTTTTGTGTCATGTCAGGAGTTAAACTCTGCTCTTATATATGTTTACCTTGAAGCTTCACCATGACTGGTGATCAGATTATTCCCACAGGTCTTTGATGCCAGCTTACACAGATTTTCTCTCCTCTCTTGAAACCGCTTGTTTGGTGACTGAAAGTTGATACATCTTCATTATTACCTAGTTCTAAAATTATGCAAACTTCGCTTGTTTGAATTTACCTGGTCTGTCAAACGCTATAGGTTTAACATTTAAAAATTGATTGCTTTGGTACAAGATAGAAAAGAGCGGCTTCGTTATTTTTCTTTGCGTGAACAGAACACTGTATCAACTTTTAGTTTGGACACCTGGACATTTAATTAGTAACATATAGTCTTTATAATCAGCTTTACCCTGCTTTAGAAATCATCCTGTGATAGAGTATAGAAGTAAACCTGTAGATCATAGAAATTCACAAAGCTACATTTTTACTACCTACCTTTAACTGTAGTTACTACTTTGATAGTATGCACACACCTTTTAATAATAACCTTCCATTTCATTAGCAGTACTAAGTGCTTTGTGAATTTTTTTACCGCTGGTATGATCTGTGATGCTTTTGACTGATCGGCAAAGTCAAAAATACTAGGAGCTGGAGCTAAATGCATTCTTTCGCTTTTTTAATACCTGACTATCTTTTATATCTCGTAGTTATGAGAATATAGAGTGCAGAATACTGTCCTAACCATCATCATCATCATCAAATAAATGTGAAATCGTCATCATTGATTGACAGTGCTTTGAGAAACATTCAGTAAACTAAGTGAAACAAGGCTGATTTAGAAGAATGGCATAACCTGCACATGAAATAGGGGTATGATTTAATCTACTTCATGTACATAGCATAACATAAGGAGCAACATTTTCTGATAAATCAACTGTCTCATTTGTCATATTGCATGTCATCAGAACAAAGCTTGTGTTTATGATGTTGTCTATAATTCCAGTGAAAGCTTCACGATTAAATCGTCCAGCTCAGAGAACATAACATCAAAGTAATCTTCCTGAGCTACAAATATTCTTCTTTATTCACAATTCTATTAAAAAATTGCAATCGACTTTTCAGATAAGCTACGTCATCCAAAAACTGTATTGTCACAAATAGGTTCTTTATACCTCTACACTCTATAGTAAATTAAATGTAGACCTTCAAAAATTGCCTAAATAGATGGGAATAATGAAATTTTGACAAATAATAACTGTTCAAAATCACATAAATAAAGTTATAGGATAACATAAAAGGTGTAGTGAACCTCTGAGTCATTTGGTAGAAGACACTGAAAGAAAAATGATACATAGTTTTCTGTAAAACAGTTAATCCAAAAAAGATTCAGTTGTTGAAATCGCTTAAAGCACATACAACATGCAGTTTTATACGTATCTGCCTTTGAGCAGTACGCAAGCATTCATTCCAGTCAAATGGTTGATAATAAGATTGATTGACATTGAAAGCACCGTCATCATCATTATTATTATTGTTGTTGTTTTGATGATTGCTGTTCAACTGTTTCAACTGACGACGATCATTATTCTGTACATGAGAATAATTGGATCTTGATGTGGTCACTTGTTGTTCATGACTAGAATCGCATTCAGTTTCGATAACATTAATTAAACCTTGAATTCTTTGTCCAAATGCAGAGGCTATCATTTCAGCTTTATGCTTAGCATCTGATACAGCCTGTGTAACAGCCTCTTTTCTATAAAAATGATAAGAAAAGAAAAGAAGTAGTGAATATTTGATTGAAAGTGGAACATTACACAAGTCATTGTGTGTCAGAAAGCCCCAGGTAGTATTTTTATCTTCCTACTTTAAGAACCACTTGACGCCATTAATAATCACATCTCTAGCCTTAAAATTTATGGTTAAGAAAGTAGGATAGATTTCACTGATGACTGTTATTTATCAATTTCGATCAGATAGTGAGTGCCACAGCGAGGCTATCTATCTTCTTGACTAGTGAGTACTTCTAGCCCGTTATATTTCAATTGTTAAGAACTTATTTCATTGGAGTGAGTTACTCAGTGTTTCAGCTGAAAGTAATTAACTTAATGGGACCAAAAAGAGTCATGACTAACACAGTTTGTGACACTGAATTCAATAAAAAACCTGAGATGCACTTCAGAAGTCCTGAAGACTATAGAATTATTTCTATGCAGGAACAGAGATATGTGTCATTGATAAATGTTGATCTACGATGAATTGGTTTGTAGGTTTGAACGTTTTATAGAATAAGTAACTTCCCATAGAATTCATGATTTATATATTTTCTAAACTCCTCAACTAACGACGTCATTACAATTGTTGAACTTTTGTTAGGATGTTAACATATTGAGGGTATCATTTATATTGTCTTCAATAAATTCTAATGACCTAGGGCATGTTTCGCAACATGAGAAGCCATGAAATAAATTGGATTTATTTTTCACGTTGTAAATCCCTTTGTTCTTACCGACGAAATGCAAAAGGGCTGAAAGTGACGATTACTGAGTTTCACTTTACAGACTGAATTGTTGCACGCTTATGAACAAGCATATGGTTTTACCAAACAAAGATAAGCCACTAGTGGGCGAGATTTTGAATTTTAATAGACTTAAGCATTACACAAGCCTGGTCACCAGATATTCCCTTACGTAAGGTCAGCTACAGAACGTTTGAGCTGTGTATCTTCGGAGGCGTCCAGACTAAAACATGCTATCACTTCACAAAGTTCCTGACTGTTGGACTCACCCAGGAACGGAAATGTAGACTGCTAGATCATCGTCTATATGACAACTACGAATGGTCTTTGGAGGTTTTAGTTGATATGGCTCAGAATCACTATCAGTGGTGCATATACATATCCACACGTTATCTTAGTACGAACTGTCATATTGCATTTAAAAATTGTTTCATGCTGTTTCCCTGTCTTCATATAATTTTCTATGACATTCGATAGAACGGTTCTTCCGTAATTAGGCTGCGTTGTGTTCTGACAGACAGACCGACAAAATCAAAATCAAACATCCCACACAATTGCATTGGTTCAAGTTGCTACACTTCACAGAAGCATACAAAATACAAGTGGATAGGAAAAGAGTAATATCAGTGTAGACAAAGCTGCGTGAGAGAATAAACAATTTGGATAAAAGAGGATAGTGGTAATATTCATACCTTAGAAGACTTCTAAGAGTGAATGCATCTGAGCCATTGTGGTCGATTTTCAGCCACATCACCAAGAGTCATCAACCACTGATTCCTTCAGCATCCAGTATTCTACATCGCCCCACACGACTCAGACCAGGAGTGACAGACTTATTCACCAGGTGCCACTTCATAGTCTGGCCACTTTCTAACCTAATCCAGCTTACCCTAGCATGGCACCTCAAGGTAGGGGGTGGCTCAGCATGCACAGTACATGTCCAAGCCATCTCACTCGACGAAGTTTTCCAACCTCATCAATCGACTAACCCGTCTTTCCTGGTTCCCTTCGCCTGACTTCAACATCTCTCACAAGGTGATTCCACAAAACGTGAGCAATGCTACGAAGACATCGGTGATCAAAACTCCGCAGTCGCCTTATGACTTCAGCTTTCAACTACCATGTCTCACGGCCGTATGACAAGACAGAATGAAATTCAGCGCAGTATACTCGTTCTTCGATAGATAATTGGATGTAGCGCTTGTCCGCTTCACAGATGATGCAAGCTGGAAATGTCAAAAGGAACTCTCGTATCCCAGCTAACACTCCGTCAGCAACCAGCTCGTTCGGGCCAATGCAACTTCCCAAGTAAAAAAAGTGGTTGACACGTTCCACCACTTCATTACCTATAGTAAAACTGGGTGTACTTGCAACACACCAGTCCTGCAGCATCATCTAACACTTGACATGTGCCTGCGATACATATGTCGAACATACTCAGCTTCATACTCAACGCATTCACAAGACCCTGAAGTTGTCCCAGACAGTTATTAAGTCGGCTGCACAAAATGTTTACTTTTGAAGCCATACTTGACACAATGTTGTTCCAGTTTAGGAAATCCCAAACATCTTTCGCCATTCGGCTGTCAGAAAAATTCAGTAGTGTAGACGGTAGAGCTGACAGTCGGTAGTTGACATGGATTTACCTGTTTCTTGCCATGTAGGTAGATGACAAAATGACAAACTGGCATTCTTTTGGGATCAAGTTCGCCTCCAGAGAGTGCTTGAGTAGTTCATGAGGATGCCTACTGAGTAGCCTTGAGTAGTCCTTAAGGAAAGTCGGTCTTGAGTAGTCACACTCGAAGGCTTTTCTGGTTTCAGCTCGGAGATTCTCTAGAACCTTTTGTTACGTGATTGTGATGCAATACAATTTATAGCCTTGGACCTGTCGTAGATTAATACCATTAAAAATACTGCAGTAGCATTATTCGTGCATTGAGCTGCATGTCAAATCATAAGCTCAGCAGTTCAGCTTTCCCCTACTAAGACCCGTTATCAGCTTGATGCTCTTATCGGTTGATCCCCTTTGAGACGCAAAGACGTAGAGGTTTTACGATGCGCATTTTGCCAGATGCCTGAACTTGTTGCAATGAGTCTTGATGTTGCATTTTAGAGGGCACTCTGTGTTTTAGCAAACGTAATTCCTCCAGTAATGAGCACCACGTAAACAAGTAAATGCATGATTTTGTGAATCAGCCTTTCGGTTGCGTGTCTAATCCACGACATTCTCAACGTCACAGTATCTTTTGTATTACCTTTTTTGTCTTCCACTTGATATCAGTTCTCTGTAGCAATTCCAATGGCCAGAACAACAAGGATTTACGAAATATTCCTTTATCGACTGCTAATTCACCTTACTATGAAATAGGAAAGTTCTGGTAGCGTTCAGTGAGAGGCTTTTCTTAGTGGTCAGGGGTAACACTATTGTCGTATGTTTTAAGGTGTGAAAGCGTTTGGACACATGCTCTCGGTAGGCCCAAGACTTTCTATCAGGACAAAACTAAGTCTTAGTGGTACGCTCTCAGATCATGTTTTAAACATGCTGCCTGCTTTCAGTCCAACAGACAGTATTTGTGACCCAAGTAGGGGACACCGGAGTTTTTGTGGTTCTAGGTGGTTGTCAGGATCCTTTCTGCAGCTCCCATATGTTCTTAGTCCAGTTAGCTATAAAGTAGCACAGGAAAGAGTTTGGTAGTCAAATATTACATCCGTTGCCTGTCTAGCATTTTGGTATGAGCTTACTTTGTGGGCTACTCTCTCTTCGTCTCCGTGTATGAAAGTGTTATTTTTGACAGAGCTATTTCTCTGGCCAAAAATTCTTGGGGAGACTAGGTTTTTTTATGGATATTACTCGGCAACGGGAGATGTCACAGAAATGTTTTAGCTCCTCTATCTTGCTTTTTATTCATCCAACATTGTTATGCGTACACTACTTAGTTTTTCTCAAGGGCTGTGACTCGTCTATCATGTCAGAGACTCCTTCGTCCCTTTTGAGTTTCGTTTAATTCAGATTTTTGAAATCTAGTGACGATCTGCTTGTGCTTCAACAGTGGTGATTGGTTATTCACTGTCTGTGAGATCGGGTATGCATGTTTGTTTACTAGTGATAACCATTGACTGCAAAGTTTGCATTAGTTGATCCTTGTCGTTTTGTATAAACTGTCTGAGCTTATTTTAACATCGACAAATCGCACTTCACACTTGGTGCTCGGTCAGCAGTTCTTTTGTGAGTCACTTATGAAAGTGGAAATATATGACTAGTCGTCTAAAAGTAGGACTGAGCCGATCATAGTAATTTTGTTGCAATAATGGCTGGTAGATTTTAGAGTGCCATTTCATCTGCTGTTTTGAGCCTATCATCAAACTGAAACAATCGGTCAAGATTCGTTGTATGTAAGTGATATATATGTGCCTCGAGTACTAATGAGTGGACTGTTTGAGCAGAAAGTAATGAGTGTCACTTATCTTATCAAATTACAGTCTTGCGTTAAAAATGAACAAAATGAGCTAAAAACTAACAATACAGCTGGGGTTTTAACCTTTAATTACGAATGGATTTCAATTAATTAGAAGACGATGTTTTGGGTTTCCGGCATATGCAAATCTTTACAATCCCTTGTTATTTTCAAGGTCAGAATAGGGAAACAGGTAACCCCTTTTGCCTCAGTCTGCTCACTCAAGAAAGAGGAGACCTCATCACAGCCCAAAGGACTATTCACCAAATTATTCATCCGAATAGGATAATAATTCCTGCTAAAGAACGACTACCAAAGGGAGTTCAGGTCAGAATACCCCATGAGACAGCCTACATAAGGATTAGCTACAACATTTTTCCTACAATCTGTGTTCTATACAGCGCCTCGCCAATTGATGCTGTAATGATCTTGGAAGTGATTCAGAGGGGGAATCAGCTAACGTACAATTGATTCTTTCTTCGTTTTAAATTATTCCATCTATCTCAAGGCACTTAAGCAGATCGAAGTCTCAAGAAGACCTTAAAATCTTATCAGGGGTAGCTTATCTTCTTTAACTATCCAAAATACAAACAAGAAGTGCGAGCAAGATAGTTAAAGGAGTCATAAAAGCAGTCGAGTGTGAAAGACCATCTCTTCCAGAGAAGGGGTATAAACTCACAAAAATAAAAGAGTTTGAGACTAAAAAACAAGATTTCCAAAACAATCCGTTCCTGGCAGTGTTGTGTTCTTTGAAGTGGATGGTTTAATCATAAAGCTTTCATTGTCATTTTAGACAACATCTTCAACACAAACTGAAAGCTTCATGATTAATAAATCCAGCTCAGAGAATGCAACACAAAACTTATCTTCTTAAGCTAAAGATATTCTCCACCAGTACACGCTTTCTTCCCACCTTTACAATAAGGTGGAAAGCAGACAATGGGGAGGGGCACTTGTTTCAGGAAAGCGTAATTTGAGGGGGAAGGGCATCAGTGAGTTTTCCCAAGTCACTCCTTTGCTGTAGTTTTTGAAATACACCAACGCCTCACAGTTAAACCACACGCATTTTATTTACTTCACAGGCAAGTGGTGAAAAGTAAAAAAGAGCAGATAGCAGTGAATTCAAACGTACGATTTTGATACCAAAAATCTAGTCTAATATCTGCGCAGTAAAAATCGTGAATAGAATCGTTACACACATGTAAGAGGTTGTGCTTAAGATTAAATCTGGCAAAAATTCCACTTCTTTCTATTCAACAGAATATCACAATGTAACTGGAAGTTATAACTTCAAGTTACGTAAAATATATTCTATCTTCGAAAACTTGTAAGTTAGCTATCAATCGATAGCTAAGAAATGACCTACCTTATTTCGAAAAGTTTCTTTTTAGAGAAGAAGAACTGCACAGCTTCTAGCTCTACATAAGTTGAAAGTTTGGATTTAAGGTGTCCTAAAAGGCTTTTTATCCCAGGTATATCAGAAGTTGTTATTTCAAATTTGTACAAGACAGTCACAAATTCATTTTCCAAGACCGAGTCATAATGCTCCACAACGTTACACTTCTATCGTTATTGATAAAATAAAAATTTCAAAACATATTATTACCTTGAGATGTCGGTTATTTATTTCTTGCCGGGCATATTCGGCACGTTTCCTTGCACTTGCTGCGGCTGCTGTCCATGTAGACTTTCTAGAGTACACAGAAACTTCAGCTCGGCAACAGTCAGGTTCCGCTGTTATTTCTCCTATACCGGTGACTTTTATTTCGCCTCGATTGCATACATCTCCGATTACCATACTGTTGTCATGATTCAAATAGTATTTGCTTACTTTCAATATCCAATGGCCAATATCTTTCTGCGAGCTAGTGTAAACCAAGTGATTTCTCCGAGCTCCCTTCTAAGTCTTACAGGACATTTTCAGAACTTTGGTGGATTCCGATGCGGCAGGTCTACCCACTCGACTGCTGTAGATCTGGTTAGCCTGACCGGCCCGTTGGGTGTTGGTTAAATTTGTAGGGAGTATATGTTGTTATTTTTCCAAGGACTATGGTGCAGATGGCTTCCTCAAGTGTCATACTAGCAGACAACTGGTCAGATTGGCTGTAAAAAACAGATGGAAACTATATGCAGAGAAATCAAGGGAGAGAAAGTGAGAAGAAAATAAACAATGGACAAGACGATTAGGAAAAAGGAAACGGTACGGAGAAGGAAAGATCGGTAGACTCATGGAAGACGGATGATGAGGAGAACTTTTGCTAAAGTGTAAGAACATAAGGTCAGTAGGGAGAGAAGGAGAGAATAACATTTGGATGGCTAGTGGAAATGGGACTAGTAATTCTGTTAGTGGGAGACGGTAACTGGAGGGGACGTCTATAGGGAAATATAAGGTGGAGCCAAGTTCACAGTGATAGTGATGTTACAATATATTTGATAGTGGGTTGGCCACACTGAGTTAGTGGGTAGCGTCAGCCTAGTCCATATCACAGCTGGATGAGCGCAAGCCGTGCGTCGCGACGTAACTATCCAACCTCTTCTTGAGGCTGTCAACAGACGGAGCAGTAGCAATCTGGGCAGGCAATGCGTTCCAGTGGCCGTGAACTCTCAGAGAGAAGGAGTGTGTGCGTACACAGATTTTTGCGCTGTGGTGGGTGATTTTCTTGGGTTACCACGAGGATCGCCACAGTGGCCGTTAGGTAGGATTCCACTGTTCGGATGACTTGGGTTGCAGAGTATTTTGTAAGCCGTTATCACGTCACCACGTAATCCAAGGCAGCTAGAGATTAGAGTCCTGGGTCTTTCACCCTGTCGTCATAGGGTTTTTGCCTCATTCCCACGACATCCTTTGTAGCTCTCCTTAGAACTTTCTCTAGGAGGTACACACCTCTTTTCAGGTGTGGTGGTCAATAACGTTGTGGACCTTCAGGTAGGGTTGTATGTAGGTCTTTTACAGTTTCATAGTGTGTTCTGGGGTCAGATCACCTGGTTGTCTGCGCATGAAGTGCAGTACTGGGTAGGCTCCGGAGGCGTCTCAGGATAACTGCATTTAGTTTCTAGTCTATTAATCAGTGTCAGTCCCAGGTCTTTCTTCGTGGTGGATCTACCCTTTCTGAAACCATGTCGAGTATCATTTAGCACTCACTTCTCTTCCAAGTACTCCCTGACATGATCGTCTACCTGATTATCCACTACTTTTGACGCCATTCTTAGAAGGGCCATTCATCGATGGATTTCAAGTTCTGCCTGTCTCCTCCCTTGAAGATGGGGAGCAGAATTGCACGTTTTCACTCTCATGGAAACATGAGATTGTCTAAGCAGCGTTGAAACAGATTCGCAGCGAGCTACACAAGGCACCTGCGCATTGTTTTAACACAGACAGCCGGATGCCACCACATCCTGGTGATGTCCTGTTGTGGAGCTGTGATAGCCTTTCGAGGACCATAGCAGGAGTTACCTATATTCCATGCAACTCTACTGCATTCGGTGATGCTGAATGCAGCTCAAGCATTTGGCAACTTTGGCTCAATGGAGATGTTTTCACTTGCGTGTCGTAGGCGGCACTGAAGCCTTCGGCAACCTCTAGTGTGGAGAGTTTTTCTCCGTTCAGGCCTTTCAGGATGCGAGCCACCTGGCTGGTGGATTTTCTGCCTGACAAACCCTCCTGCCCCGGATTGAGAGTTGGGGCGTTGAGGTCGCCAGCTATAGTGACCTGGTCATACCTTATGGACATCGTCCCGGACATTACTTCCATCAGCTGCCGGCTATGTTCCTTGGTTGCTACTGGGATTCCCGTAGACGCCGCTTAACAGGTACTTGGTGTGTCCAGCCATCAATTGGCACTAGATGGCGTCTGGGAGCCCTAATAGTAGAGTTTCATTTAATCTTTCACTTTAAGATGGTCGCTTATGGGCACTACCTTTCAGCCTCCTTCCTTAAACTCTCTGTCTGAACAGACGCATATCTTCTATACTACTTTCGACGTCATTAATATCCGGTGATGACCAAGTTTCTGTCAGAACCAGGATTTTCGGGGCAAGACAGGAACAGAGAGATCGTAATTCCTCCACCCCACTTCTAAGTCCCATCACATTACTTTAAAGACACTCGGATATGTTTTTACCAGCATGTGCTGTCTTGGTTGTAGTAGACTGAAGGGGGTCATGCGCAACCGCGAATTTCGCTACAGGACAGCCAGCCTTAGTTAAACCGGCCCAATCACATTTTTCTCATAGTGGTTTCTGGGGAGAAGAAGTCTAAGTGGCAACTCGAATGGGTGGACTTCGGATCTTCCCACCCCATTTCAGTTAAAGTGGGCCTGGTTAAATGCTTAAGTGATAGAGCGAAAAAGATTACTAGTAGGTCGGAAAATCTGCGACAAGAAATTAGACACGTCAAGAATACCCTACGTATGAATAATTACCCACCAAACTCTGTAAGAAATCGAAAGAAAACTGTTAGCAGTGATATTAGTAGTGGCAGTAATGAAGATGTTATTGATAATAATCCCACTACTAATGGTAATAATGGCGACAGGGTTAAGAGAAAATTCAGGGCCTCTGCCGTGTTACCATGCAAGGAAGGCATCTCAGAAGCACTACGAAGAATTCTCAATAAGGCTGGGACTAAAGTGACATTCAAGCCAACAAACTCACTTAGAAACAAGCTTTGTAGGATAAAAGATCCTACAGATGCAATTAAGCAAAACAATCTGGTTTACCAGATCCCTCGCAATGATTGCGGGGTCAAGTACATAGGTCAAAGCAGTCGACCACGGCAGATCAGAACAACAGAGCACAAAAACTTGGCTGAATCAAGCTCTGTAGATCCTAATAAAATAAGAAATCTAGAGAAAAGCTCAGATTTAGCTCTACATGCTATGACACATAATCACACAGTAGGGTGGGACGGGCGACAGTGTCGAAAACTGAATTAGTTGGGTGGAGGGAGGGATTGATAACGGAACCTTTGTTTATCGAATCAACACCAAAAGCGTGCAATTGAAATGATGCTGCACCTGTCCCAGATATATAGAAAATTCTACTACCCTTGTCATCATGGAGAAGAAGAGAAAACTAGGAATGTACAAAGTCATGAAGTTACCTTGTATGAATGCGGACAATAAATTGTGTCTGAAACGTTATCCAGTAGATGCTATTGTTTCACTGTGTGATGTTTCTAATAAACAGACTAAAACGGAATAAAAGCCATCAGCATGGGTGATGTTATCGTCAACAAGTGTGAGAGATGTGGCAGTCTGCAGACAGCCGCCACCGCTTATCCATTTAAACCTAAATTCGCTGACAACCGTTGCCATTGCTGGACGTCGTGAGCATGCTTAGACACTAATGTACGGTTGTTAGTTCCAGCATGCCGTGAACAACCATGGTTGTTGGTTTCAGCATGTGGGGTGCCTCACGAGATGCTTTTCTCGCTGACCATGGCCAATCTGGCTTGACCCCAACGTTGGATGACCGGTTGGTGACTAGTGAGTGTGATAGCAATGAGAATCTCCCGCTCCTTAGCTGAGATCAGGGTCACTCTCATCGGCGGGGCTTTCCCTGAGGTGAGTAGTCGCCTTTGTAGAGCCGGCACAACCTTACATCCAAGCTAATCAGTCCTAGAATGATGCATATTGTTTGCCGTTGCTATTTGTCAAAGATACTCTGTCCTCGAGAAGGCTATCATGGCACACAAGGATGATGGAGTTCGATCTGTCATCAACGTCTCTGTCGTCGTGCACTGTATGTGATTTTCTGCGGGAGGGTGCACCTTCCTTTCCACTGTCACCCATCTCTCCCTATGTGCAGTAGGGGTGGCCGTTGCAGTGACTTCAGGGTCACGGAGTAATGTGGTTGGTCGCATACCTGGTCGTCGTCGTCGTCTGTGTCTTTCTGGACTATTCACAGGCATCACAGTCTTGTGAGCGGTGCCGGCACTCTTGTCGTCTGGACCTAGGGTAGTGGTCCGTGTGGATGCCGGCATCACAATAGCCACTGTGGTGTCTTTCACGACATCCCTAATCGAGCCTGTAGAAAAGAGTGGCCTAACACGGCACTGTGAGCAAGTGTAGCAGAACCAGGGGGTTCAATTAATAACTATCTTTTCCTTCTCTTCCGTCTCTCAGTGGTGGCCTTCATAGGTAGATTGGGGTTTGGGCTGGTGGTACCAGAAAGACATGCCCTCCGGTGGGCTGAAGCACATGGGTTCTGAGGGACAGAAGATCGACTTTTCGCAGGAGGTGGTAGTTGTAACTGTCCACCAGAGGTCGACTCACGATCTTTTGCAGTGGCAATGAGCCTCTCGCACAGGTCCTAGTTACCACCAAGGATGGGGAGGTTATAGCTAAGGTGAGGCTTTACCTGAGATGTCCCTGAGACCAGATTCGGCTAGAACCCAGTTGTTTCTCATTTCCATCAGTGTTTAGGGGATTGTGAATGGCACAGATGGTTGCATCAAGTGAAGTGTAGGAAGCAATGATGGATGAAGTAAGTTGTCAACCTCACCTATGGTTGACCGGTTGCTCAATAATTGCTCAGTGAGTAATCCGACATCCAACACCAATAGTGGAGTAGAGGAAGGCTGGTGATTGTGAGCTCTCACTTCTAGGTCTTGAGGCTTCGTCCCTTTTGCTCAGTTGTCCCCAACATCCGTCTAACAGGTTAGCATAGACCAACTGACCTCAGGCTCACTTCCTCAGTTTTCAGCCTTTTCAGTAGGCCAGTTGGCCTGTGTTAATCCTTGTAGAAGATATCTCTCTAAAGGTCTAGTTTCTCCTTGAACGCGTTGGCAGAGGGTGCTGATACTACTTGCTGAGGCGATTAGTTCTGGTTGTTGACAACATGATGAGAG